TTCTCCTTCTCCTTCTCCTTCTTTTTCCATTTTCATTCTCCTTTGTCCATTTTCCCTTTTCCCCTTTTCCCTTTTTCCCTTTTCCCTTTTTCCCTTTTCCTTTTCCTTTCTCCTTTTCCTTTTCTTTTTTCCCTTTTTCTTTCTCCTTTTCCCTTTCCTTTTTTCCCATTTCCTTCCCCTTTCCTTTCTCCTTTCTCCTTCCTCTTTCCCTTCCTCATGGAGGCGACAGGCACTTCCTATTTTAACTGGACCCCAGCCAGGGCCTTTTCTGGCATTTCTGAGGGATCTGTCACCATTGGGAGCATTTAAATTTTGCAGAAAATGGCAAAACTTCCACAACTTCAGGGCTGTAAAATGCAGGTCAGCAGTGACCCATCCTCACTGGATGAAGAGGAGGGGGCTGGGGGGGGTTCATTCCCCAGGAAAGACTGGGATGATCCCTGTTTTTCCATATATATATATATATTATAGCCCAGCACTGGGATTCTGGGGAGGATCAGCTTCTCTGCGCCTTAATGAGCCGTTTAATGATTAAAAATGAAATTTAAAACCTTCTCTGGGGTTTCCCACCCATGCTCTGGTCCCCAGCAGCTCTTCTGGGGCTGCCAGTGGGGCCCTGGTGCTTTTCCAGGAGATTTATTTCAACAAACAGGACCTTTCCCATGGGTTGGGGTGCAACACCTTCGGCTGATCCGGGCACAGGGAAAACTCTCAGGGTTGGGGTTTGTGCTCAGTGTTTGGGGATGATGCTGAGGGTGAAGAGGAGCCAGGTCCCTCTGCTTCGCTGCCTTGTCCTGTGTTTGTCTCCCACATTTTGCTTCCTCTCAGGTCTTTGCCCTTTTGGGTTGTAAATTGGATGCAGGAAGTGAATTCAGTAATATTGGGAAAAAGCTCCGAGACCTTCTCGTGGAAGTCAGAGAGATGGATTATAATTAGCACAGGAATTGGCAGCCGCAGCAGGGGAAGATGTGAAGCGTCTGATTTTTGTGCTGCTCAATGAAATTTGAGGAGAAGGCTTTGGAGAGCTGGCAAAGCAAATAAAGGATGGGAAGAGCAGGAGGGTGCTGCAGCCCTTGGCTGCTCAGGGTGTCCCAGGGTGGTGGCAGTGGGGGCACCAGGGGTCCCTAAATTGGGACATTCATTCAAATTCATTAATTGATTGTTTTCCCCCCGCAGGTTACATCCCCTTTGGAACCCCCATTGTAAGTATTTGCTTGTGGGCACCAGGAGATGATTTCTGAGCAGCTCTGCACACTCACATTTCCTCTTATTGAGGGGCTTTGATCTATTGGTGTTCTGAGGGTATTGATCAATTACCTATCGGGTTATTGGTGAATTAACCCAACCTCTGCTTGAGGCTGTTTCTCTCCTGCTGAGGTTATTCAGCTGCTCATATATTGATGTTATTTATCGATTCTGTATGAGAATATTGATGAATTATCCCAGCCTCTGGTTGAGGGTATTTATCTGTTATTAAGGGGGTTTTATCCATTAATATATTGAGGTTATTTATCTCCTATTTATGAGCTTATTTAGGAATTAACACAACCTCTGATGTTATTTATTTATCTATTATTGAGGTGATTTTTCTATCAATATATTGAGGTTATTTATCTGTTATTATCTTTTATATCTATTGAAGTTATTGATGAATTAATCCAACCCCTATTTAAGGTTATTTATCTATTATCGAGGTTATTTATTTATTCATATATTGAGGTTATTTATCTATTATCTACCAGGTTATTGATGAATTAACCCAGCCTCTGTTCGAGGTTATTTAGCTGCTATTGAGGTTATTTATTTATTCGTATATTGAGGTTATTTTTTATTAAATATCAGGTTATTGATGAAATTACCCAGCCTCTGATTGAGGTTAATTATCTATTATTGAGATTATTTCTCTATCAATATATTGAGGTTATTTATCTCCTATTTATGAGCTTATTTAGGAATTAACACAACCTCTGATGTTATTTATTTATCTATTATTGAGGTGATTTTTCTATCAATATATTGAGGTTATTTATCTGTTATTATCTTTTATATCTATTGAGGTTATTGATGAATTAATCCAACCCCTATTTAAGGTTATTTATCTATTATCGAGGTTATTTATTTATTCATATATTGAGGTTATTTATCTATTATCTACCAGGTTATTGATGGATTAACCCAGCCTCTGTTTGAGGTTATTTATCCATTTAGCATCCACAGCCTCCCTCAGCACCTTCATCTTTCCCTCTGGAAAGCTGAAGTTGTTGCTGGCAAAAATGCAACTCCTGCAACGCTCAGATTGCATTTTTGGGCACTTTTATTTTGCATTTCTGTGGTTCAAGGCACTCCAGCTCGGCCAGGCAGTGCTGGGTGCTCTCGTTTGGGTTAATTAACCCAAAAAGATGAAGAGGAAAGGGGAAAGATGAAGGTGCTGAAGGATGCTGTGGGAATGATGTTAAATGGATAAAAAACTCAAATAAGAGGCTGGGTTAATTCATCAATAACCTGATATTTAATACAAAATAACTTCTCTATATGAATAAATAAATAACCTCAGTAGTAGATAATTAAACAGAGGCTGGGTTAATTCATAATAACCTGATAGACAATAAAAAATAAACTCTCCAGATGAATAAATAAATAACCTCGATAGTAGATAAATAACCTCAAACAGAGGCTGGGTTAATTCATCAATAACCTGATATTTAATAAAAAATAAGCTCAATATGTTAATAGATAAATACCTTTGAATCGAGGCTGGGTTAATTAACCTCCTGAGGTTGTGGCTGAGGGGGATTTCTCCTTGTTTTTGGGAATTTTGGGAGTGTTTGGGTGCTCTCCGTGGCCAAAGGCAGAAGGGAGAGAATTCTGCCTGTTCTCCTCCTGCTGAGCTGTCCCCTCCAAACAGGCAGGGTTAATTCAGCCCAGCTTTGTGGGAAACTGAGGCACACTTTCCCCAAAAACTGGAGTCGAGAGGCATTTCATCCCCAAGGCCACCAGCTCCTGCTTCAGCTTCTTGGTCCATTAAAACGGTCAAAGGGGCAAAATAC